AGGATATAAAAGAAGAGAGAGAAGAAAGGCTATAAGGGGAGAGAAAAGATAAAAAGGGGGAAGAGAAGAGAGGATATAAAAGAAGGAGGGGAGAGAAAGGATATAAAAGAAGGGAGAGAAGAGAGGATATGAAAGAAGGGAAGAGGATATAAAAAAGGAGAGAAGAGGATATAAAAGAGGGAGGAGAGAAGAGGGGATATAAAAGGAAGAGTGAATCTGGTTTCTCCATTGACTTGTTTATCAGAAGGTTGCAAAAGGAGATCACGTGATCCTGGATACTGACCATCATAAATATGAATCAGTTGCCAAGCATCCAAATGTAGATTGACCCTGGGGATCCTGCAACGGTCATAATCTTGAAAAATGATCATTAGTCACTTTTTTCAGTGCCGTAGTAATGTTGAACAGTCACTAAGCGAACTGTTGTAAGTTGAGACTACCTGTACTTTATCACTTTTTTCCCTTTTTTTGGTCATCAGGTTTTTGACACCTTGCTAGGTGACTGATGATACTCAAATATTGCCATATGCTAAAAGTGGTACAATCTGTGAAAAGGTTGAAAAACCCTGCTGTAAAGCACCGTGGGGTGAAATATAACTATAAGTGTTATTGCTATAATAACTCTGTACTTCATCATCTGTATGGAAAAACATTTAATCAAAAAAGGAAGTATAATTATAACTCACACTAGGATAAAATATGGAAGGTGTGCAGTATAACTTTCAAATGTTTTTGAAAGTTACAGTGAGAACATATGTATGACAAGATCTACATAGCCCAAAGACTAACACAAGGCAGTGGACAATATATAAAATATGTATAGTAATATTTATATCATTCCTGTAATTGTCTAATATATGTGTACAAAACTGCATATATGTTGTGAAAAAACCTTTATATCACTCATATGAATCAGATCTCTTTGGATACAATGCAAAAAGATGACAAAAACATTTTCACAAGTAGTTCAATGATCTGCATTTAAGACTATAGTAAACTTAGAAAGAACAGGTTTTTAAAAAATAAAATAAAATGATAAAGTAGTTTTTGAGTATATGTAGATAAAATATGTTGTTTAATTGACTATGCTAGAAGGGATCAGTGTCAGTATCTTACCTTCAACTGTTTTAAGATCCAGACTTAATTCAGCCTTTAGAAAACAAAATCTTGCAATTGCTGTATTCTTAAACATAAGTACCCTTGCATAGTATATTTATGCATACATAAATACACAAAGCATCATACCATACTGAACCAAACATTGTCTTGTAGTAAATATTTATAGAAGAGAATTATCCTGGTCTATGAACTTGGATAACTTCCATACAAAGTCTTGATTACTGAGCATATTTTGGAATTGAGATTACTTTGCATACTTTTTGAGTGATAAAATTGCTGTATTCAGGTAGTTTTTCAAGACTGCACTAGCCATGAGTTTTCTCATAGAATGTAGCACTGCATTTTAACAAAAGCTTGTGTTTTATAGGGTGAGTGTTAATTCACTTTTTAACACTTAATTTCCCAGTTATACCCAGAGGCTGATATATAGCAAGATTATTTAAGTACAATAGGCAAAATCATTTTGTTAGAGTAATGTGAAAACAATTATTAGATTTTTTAAAATTTGGATTGTTTTAATGAAACAAGGTCAGAACAGTCTAATGAAAGCATATTTGCACTGACGTTAAGTTTTTTTTTCTTAATTACAGTATAGTATGGTTAATATATTCAGTAATTGGATGTTATAACAGAAGCTTTTTACTTGAAGATTATACTTTCCAGGTCCTGTCTTGGTTTTATTTATAATGGACAGATTTGATTGTAGCATAGGATTTTATATTCTGGCATACACATTTAAAGCTATTTCATAATTTTGAAAAGTAAATTGGTAAAGTGCTTCAGAAAAATATGTGTATGTTTTCAATCATACTTGAGTAGACTGTATTAATAATTTCTCAGGCAGAGAAAATAATTTTGACATTAGCCTGAATTCCCAGCTGTTTATACAGAAATAAAGCACCTTCCTCAATATCTGAGTTTGTCTACCTACCATCATTTCACAACTCCCCCATTGTGTTAAACCAGGCAAATTGCAAAATTGTATATTTGTGAAATCATGGGAGGGGGGTTACTATGATCAGTTTAGTAAGCTATATATTGTTAAGATATTGGATAATATGTCTGGTTTGACTATAATAAAGGTTTATTCATTCATATTGGGAAATTTCTCTACATCATGTAATTTTATGTTCATTATAGTAAATAACTATATGGAACCTGATAGTTTATACATGTATACACTCACAAAATTGAACAAAAAGATATTCTTAGCTGTTTATTTATTTGTTAGAAATATATCGTATATTTCATTTAGGGACTCATAGTACTCATAGTGGAACACGTAGCCCTCCATACTCTTCCCATTTCTCCCCATAATCAAATATCTAGGAACAGTGAGTCCCCAGTAAAGTCAACCAGTAAATTTCCATGCTGAGAGTAAACTTGAACCCTGATCAACATTTTGTACAAAACAACACTCAGTATTTTTCTCAAGTTAGTCTTACAGAAATTTAAATATACTCTGAATATGAAAAAGACATTTCTCTTCAAATTGAGAAAAAAATAAAGTTATTTGTTCCCTTTTGAGAAAATATAATAATGAGAATCTCCTGCAGACTGCTCTGATATGTCTGAGTGTTTCTTTGCATATAACATTGTTTCAGCTTCATTCCACTTGGAAAGAATTAGGCAGAATGTTCCCGGTATTATCTTGCAAGACTATCTTTGAGCTTCTGGAGACAAAGAAGGCAGAAATGTTTTCACGTCTTCTTCAAGAGCATCCCTATAGCGTGCTACAAGAGTCCACTAGATGTGAGATGACAAATATATAAATGACTGTTGCTACAGGATCTTGATACAAGACTTGACACAAAAGCAGCTGGAAATGAGGAAAGACTACCTTGGCCAGGGCCTGTATTTGCACAAGTTAAGGAAGATTTCCAACTACAGACTCTTCTTTCTGTGGAACTGCAACTGCAACTCCATCTGGAAATAAAGAAAAGGATTCAAGCCTTATCTATCACTTGAGAAGGAAGAAATTTTTGTTTAAATGGAGTATCGGTTGTAAGTGTTGATAAAGTCTGAAATAAAAATAATATCTTTGGTAGAACATTCATCTTAATTACAGAGATTCTACAGAGTAAGGATAATTGCAAACTATCTCATTTTAATAAGTCTTTTTCAATATCATTCTACACAGGTACAAAGTTGTTTTGAAACAATTTAGAATTTGTATTTGTCAATGTAACCCCAACATATTTCACCCCTTTCTCCATCTTGAAACCAGACTTTTTTGTCAGTATTTCAAAATCTCGAAAAGCCATATTATTGACAAGAATTGTTGTTTTCTGTTTATCTTGAAGCCTGTTAAAGTTCCAAAGTCATTTAGCTTCTTCATCAACTATTATACCATATACCAAAAGTATGATTAAGTTGTCAGCAAATGCTCTCAATTTATAAGCCTCCTTTACAGGTAATTTCTGAGTTAAGAGCATTCACTTAACGCTCATTCGAAGTTATGTGATCAGTGCCCCCTAGTGAGCAAATCCCAAAATTACGACTATTGCAGCACCACAGCAGTTGTTCGCCCTTACGAGTGACCAACTGCAGAGGTGCTGCAATATTCACCTTATTCCTCTCTCCACTCCCCACAATTGCTTCCCCCTCCCTTCCTGCCATGTCAGACTCATTTATCTTGCAAAATCTATCTCCTCTATGCCACAGTTTCTTTCCCTTTTGAGGCAGAGGAGAGTCGGCTTTGAAATGCTTTTCGCGCTGACAATGGAAGCTCCTAGGTGCCGTAATATCGCGTGAGTTGAAACAAATTCTCTGCAAAAGAGATCATGGCCCCGGAAGCTTCCATTCTCTGGGGGAGGAAGTGTTTGCTTTGTTTGCATGCCTCTGGGGCAAAGCATGGAATCAGAGTTGGCCGTGTGCAGGAACCAATGCCGTCCATGGCCCAGTGTGCTGCTCGCTCAAGTGCGCCAGCCTTAGTTTGAGGGCAGGAACAAAGCCTTCAACTGAGCAGGGAGGCATTAGGGGGCCAGGTCCCTTGCACCTGCATCCAAGCTGGCAGCAGTGGCAACCACCTGAGCAGCCATGATCCCCCTCCCCAGCCAGCCACTCACTCCGCCTGACCGAGTCCTTGCCTGGCCGGCTGGCTGGCACAAATCCTCACCACTCTCCTCCTCCTCCTCCTCCTCCTCCCTCATTGAGCGGCTGAAACATTTTTTTATCCCAACAGAGATCTGGCAGAGACTGTAAGCTCTGTATGCCTGGAATGGGGCACTTGAGAAAAGGAGCCTTCTGCCAGATCTCCGTTGGGATAAAAAAAAATGTTTCAGCACCTATTGAGCGCTTCCAAATGCAGGGCCTGGCTGTGTTTGGAAACACTCTATAGGCACTAAAAGACTTTTTATCTCAATGGAGATCTGGCAGAGACTGCAAGCTCCGTATGCCTGGAATGAGGCACTTGAGAAAAGGAGCCTTCTGCCAGATCTCCGTTGGGCTAAAAAAAATGTTTCAGCACCTATGGAACGCTTCCAAACACAGGGACTGGCTGTGTTTGGAAACGCTCTATAGGCACTAAAAGACTTTTCATCCAATGGAGATCTGGCAGAGACTGCAAGCTCCGTATGCCTGGAATGGGGCGCTTGAGAAACAGAGTGCTCCTTTTTGTGTAGTAACACAAGGTGCTTCAAAATGCAGGGAATAGATTTTTAGAAAATAAAGTAACATTATAATTGAATAATAAGGGAAATTTTGGTCACCTAATATAAAATATTTGGAAATCAGTTCAAAATAAGTAATCTTTTTGCCCATTATGAGATAATAGATATTACTGGAAAAAGAGAGGGAGTATTTTAGTTTTATGTTGAGAGGAAAGAAATTGTAGAATTGTAAATACTGAAAACAATTTGTCAATATTAACTGTCTTTCAGGAAACCTAAAGTTTTGCCTTCTGATTCTTAATCAGCCTTTGAACAAAGACCATTTTCATCATTTATGGAATAAAGGTAAGAATTAGTGTATGCATTTTTCTTTGCCTTTGTTGTCTGAATTCATGGAGAGTGTTTTAGCAAATTTTCAGAGCATGGGAAATCAGAAATCAAAATCCAGTCATTGACAAATAGTGTAAGAATTTTAGCACAGATATCGCAATAGAATTTGTCTTAGAAAAATGTGCTACAGTAGCAAAAAATAAAATAAAATCAGAGTAAATTACAAGAAATAATCAAATTGATGTACAAACCATCAGGAGCTATCAGGATGAAGCCTACAAGTATTTGGGCATTTTACACTTTGGACAATATTAATCATGGAAAAGTTAAAATTTAATAAGTAAAGAATACATCCAAAGACTCAGAAAATTGCTAGAGGCAAAATTGAACAGTAGAAACTCCATCAAAGACATGGGTAATATCTATGATACAATATACTCATGGAATTTTTAATTGGACACAAGCTGAACTCAATAGTTTGAACCAAAAAACAAGAAAACTGATGACTGTTCACTATTCATTACTTCATTCATTCATCCTTGTAGTGTTGTGAAAAAGTTCCATCAGTCAATTGCAAAAGACCCCATTTCTTGGATCTGCACATATACAGTACCGATAATTTATAACATCCTCAGTTCTAGGGAAGATTTTGAAGCTTATGAAGGCCAATTGATACCAGCTGAAGAACTGGTGTCTGTGTCTTCACAATGTTATGAACAGGGTAATAATAGACAACACAATAGAGAATGAAGAAGCTAAAGTGCTTTGGAATTTTAGAATTCAAACAGACAGGCACCTGTCATATAATATCCCAGATTTAACAATTGTTGATAAGAGAGATTTAAAAAAAAGTTTGGATAGTGGAGATTGCAATACTTAGAGACAGCAGAAGAGAAGAGAAAGAACTGGAGAAAATCACAAAATATGAAGTTTTACAAACAGATGTAGAAAGTCTGTGAATACAAATGTCAAAATCAGTCTAAACATGTGGATGGCTGCAATCAACCATAATAATAAATCTATATTTGAAAACATCAGGAAAAAAAGATGGAATTTTCTTTGCTATCAAGTAGCTTTCTATACTGAGCAATGTTTTGGTATAGAGTAGGTAACTTTCAGTCACAGAAGCCTTGCCTACATTATAAATTGCTACAACTGACAGCTTTATGACTTCAGGCAAAAATAGTCAAGATAAATCTTTCTCTTTTTTTTGCCAAGAGCACTAGTAAACCAATGAAGCAAATTCTGAATTTCATGTGTCAGTTCCCACTCAGCAATATGGCAAATGCATTTATGTGGGAAAGAGAATCAGGAATATTTGCCAATTAAGTTTGTAATAAATTTTAATTCATCCATGTTGCAAGTATAATTTTAGGAGTATTTGTTTCAGAAAATTACCCAGAAAGTTGGCTGGTTTAATTACAGTTTTAAAAAGCTGGTAACCTTTTATCATCAGCACTGGGAGTTACTTTTTTTCTTCCTTCAGTTGTGGATCTGTGAGATTTGAATAAGCACTATAGAAATGGTGCCTTTACAGATATATAAGTCATGGGAGGTTTGAAGTTATTTCCATGGGAAAATCAATGCTGGATATAAATTCTTACATTCAAGATTCTTATAGTATCTGTAAGCTGAGCCGAAAACTTATTTCCAGCACTCATTTATTGCGTTTCCAATAGCCAGAATAATTGAAAGTGAGGCAAATTAGGATTTCTGGTGTGATTAGACAACAATAACAAAAGCTAACTTGTTGCAAGTTTCATTTATTAGAGCTATTTATAAAGGATATATATTGCAGTTTTATTAAGCTGAAGCATGTACATTTGCCTTAAGAGGTCCTGTGGAATTAAAAAAGCTGCATAAACTGAACTGTAAAAGTGTCATGAGATGTCTACTTCAAATGTTACTGTAGCTATGAATTTATTAAGTTACGGCAGATGTTACCATGTACCCTTCTTGGTATGAGGGCTAGAAGAACTATCAGGAATCTGAGAGCAGGCAGGCTGGTTACATTAATGATGCATAGATGTCAACTGCCTGTCTTTTGATAGGATAGACAAGCAGGAAAAAGAAGAGTTAAAATTTGAACTCAGTGTTGCATGTCCCTCCCTCCCTCCCTCCCTCCCTCCCTCCCTCCCTCCCTTCCTTCCTTCCTTCCTTCCTTCCTTCCTTCCTTCCTTCCTTCCTTCCTTCCCATTCATTTTCATCTGGTTTTCTGTTATACCTATATTATCAAATCTCTCCCTGCTACCCTTTGACCAAGAGTCATGCAGATACTGTGAAGTCCCTATTTTAAAAGAAACAAAGAACTTAAATATGATTTCTTGCTGTCATTTTACTTTCCTGGAATTACTTCATGCTAGTGTAGCGGGGACTGCCTGAGAGTGCTGGCAGGAGCTTGACTGGGAAGGAAAAGATTGGGACAGCTGCAGTTGGCTTTGGGTGTGGCTGGCGTGAGTGGAAGGAGGAAGGATAGAAAAGGAAAGGAAAGGAGAAGGCCGGGGTGGTTGGAGTTGAGAAGAGAAGGTCTGGAAGCTTATTTTATTTTTCTATCAA